CTGCAAGAGGTAGGAGCGGCCCGGCCGCAGCTGACCAGCCAGAAAATGGGGTTTATAGCTGAGAACTGGAGGAACCATCTTTAACTAGAGAGCTCGAGCAAACCCTCCTGCACACGAGCACACAAGGCTGCTTTCCTTCTGATTAGGGGGTAATGCCTGACTTGGAAGGAACGTGGGCGCAGCTTCCAGGCAGCACTTGGTGCCCTTGCTGAAAAGCCCTTCCCTCGCAGATGGGGACAGCACACGCTGGGAGAAACAGAGACTGCGGATGAATGGCCAAGGTGTAGGTGAGCAGTAAAAGGGGAAGAATGCTGAATTTTTTTTATACAAGCCTTTCGATCCCAGGGGTTCAGGTTTCCCGCAAAAGGCAACTCAGCAAAGTCCTGCAGAGGGACGTATTTCTGCACAGAGGTCCTGAAAACCCGATGAAGCCCTTCACCAGGACAAGTCCGGTCTTCTGCCAGGGGGCTGCAGGGAAACCCTTCTCAGATCCAAAGTTCAGGAAAAGGGCAACAAACCCCCAAGAAAGTGGTGCTATTTATTCCGCCACGTTTTATTTGGCCAAATGGGGCTGTGGAGGAAGGATGCCAAATCACAAAGAATGGGTCTGAAATGCAACGTGACACCTCTCGCTCAGACAAAACCCCTGGTGTCTCCTCTTAGGCTGTCCGCCCCTGCCCCAAGGCTAAAAACCCCAGCCGGTGCTCATCTCCTAACCAGATCCCCTACATCCATAGAGAGCGCCCAGATGGTGCCTACCCGGGCCCAAGGCTTAAATGGAGAGCCTCGGCCACCCATTCAGCCCATGACAAACGGCATTAATCATCCAGCAGGCCGGCTAGGATGGCCATGACTGACCCTCCCCAAGATAAGGAAAGGCTGCCATTCCCCAGAGGGGGAACCCATCATGGCAGCACCGCCCTCCTTGAAAGACTCCCCAAAGCCATATATAATTCAAGCTGCATGAGAGACCCAAAACAGGCACCGCTCGTGAGAAGCCTTGGAAATGTGTGGCGAGGTCAGAGAGAAGAGAATTCAAGTTTCCTGCTAGGTCGGTTTCTTTAGGCGAGGGCTACGCAACCAGGAGCGCTCAAGATCAAACACAGAAGAAGAAAAGTCCTGGAGGACAGAGGGATGGTAGGTGTACGTGGTTTTGCATCAGTTCCTAAGAAAATGTAAGGGGGGGGGTGGGATAGCATAGCAAAAACTAATCAATAGCGCAGTGTTTCTCAGCCTCAACCTTGGCCGTTTGAAGATGTATGGACTTCAACTCCCAGAATTCCCCAGCCAGCTTCTCCAGTATGGAGTTGAAGTCCATACATCTTCAAACGGCCAAGGTTGAGAAACACTGCAATAGAGAATGAAGATCACCTCCTCTGTAAGCCTCAAGAAATGATACCCCTAGCCACACGGCACCCTTCTCTGTGTTCACACGTAATGCACACTTCTTAGCCTCCATTTCTGAATAAGCCTCACTGACCTTCTTCGTATCACACAAAGCATACAGGATAGCTTTGCACTTTACACTCAGCTAAGAACGAGAACCCAGGTTCATGCGCAAATCTATGTCTGGGCAGACTTTGGAGCATCTTTAATAGGTTGCTAGTTCTTAAAACTGGAGTTTGCTTGGAATCTGTACATCTGAAAAGGGAGGAAGAGGAAAGGAAAGGGTCTCCAGGCTTTCCCCACACGAAGTGACTGCCTACAAGCAGTTTCAAGCAGCCCTAAGAACGAAGTTCTACTCCCAGGTTCTTTGGAAAGATGAGGAACATCGCCCGGCCTGCGTGGCGGTGCGGAAGCCGTATCTCTTCCCACCGGGGACCAGAAATGCAGCGCGGGATGACCTCATGGCATACTCCCGTGTGCTTCCAGCCGAACAGAGATAAGTGCTGGGTACAGAGGCCTCTGTGATTGTAATGGTTTCCATGGAATATCTGCCCTGGAAAATCTAGGGCTGTGAAGAGAAATTGGCCAGAGTGAAACAAGCTGCCGGCGCAACAGGAATCTCGCCGTTGGCGCAGCAGCTGTGCCTCCGCTAGGCCGTTTGCTGAGACCCCTCCTCCTGACCCCTGCATTGCCTCTCTCGCCCAGGCCGTCCCTGACTCTCAAACATGCAGGGCCGTCCCTAGGACAAGCACGGGCAGTGTGCTACAAAGAGGGCAATGCGTACAGGAAGCCTCCTCCTCCACAACCCAGCTCGCTGCGTCAAGCGATGGGCTTGCTCGGGGGATGTGGTGTCTTGGGGACACCCAGGGGATGCCAGCAAAGCCACCAGGCCTCTGAAAGCCCGGAGGGGAGGAGGAAGAGATTACTACCAACCTTTATTTTATTCATATTTATTCCCTCACACACACACACACACTCTGTAATGGAAGGACAAAAGCATGAAATGCTAATTGACTTTGCTGACAAAATGTCCAGAACATGATGGTCAAGGCTTCCCCTTCCGATCAAATTCTTCACAAATATGAGAAGAGGGCAAAGAATAAGAAACACGAAGTTCTGGCAGCGATGGCAGATCAGGGCATGACCCAACCTTGGCTCCCTGCCTGCCCAATTCATCACCGCCTTGTTTTGTGCCGGAGCGTCTCTCCAAAAGGGAAAGCGTTTCACCCTCGGAAGAACTCAGGGGCTTCCAGGCCACGCCCGAGGCAGGTGTGCCTTCCTTGTCCAGGAGCAATTGGGCTGCAACGGAGAGGCGAGGGAGGCAGTTTCTTTTATGCAAACAGGCCGGCTTCTAAAAAGGAAGACGGTTTTGTTCCCAGGCCTCAAATTTACACGGCCAACCGCAATCCGAAAGCAAAGTTTCACAGGCACGGTCTGTAAGCATGAAAGGAAAAGGTAAACACTGCTTCTAGTCGCTCACCTAAACTGCTGGCGCTGGGCCAGGCCCTCCCTACCCGGTTCCTCTGGACTTTTAACTTCCATAACGTGCAAATGTTGTTCAAACACATGGTGGACCAAGCAAATGTAGAACTGAAGGGCTGAAAAGCAGCAGACTTTTGGAGATGTAACATAAGAGCTAGAGCAGTGTTTCTCAACCTCGGCAGCTTGAAGGTGGGCGGACTTCAACTCCCAGAATTCCCCAGCCAGTTGAAGTCCACCCATCTTTAAGCCGCCAAAGTTGAGAAACACTGAGCTAGAGAGTCTCCCTGGTCAAAAGCTACATATTTGAGCTGCAAAAGTCCAGAGAGGCACCAGAGGTCAGCAAAGCTGGAAGTTTCGAGGGCTCCTTGCTGTCATTGAATAATCATCCAGTTTTTCAGCTCTAATATGGCAGTCCTGGGTGGCAAAATAGAAGCAGTAGGTCCCTTTAGAGACTACAGCGATCGGTGTAATATTCAGAAGGGGCGGCCGGAGGACGGGAGAAAGAAGCAATTCGTCCTACAGCAGAACGGCGTGGATTCCCGAGGCCCCCCCGCCGCCGCATGCAACAGCTTGCACACACTTCCTGTGGAAACTGCGAGCTGGACCTTCTGGGAAGGGACAACAAAACCACAATAGGAGAGAAACGAAATTCAACTTTATGCAAGAGGGGCAAAAAGGAAGCTTTTGTCTAACACTACAAACAGCAAAGCCCGTGTTCTCAAAGAAAAACAAATGTTGCCTTACCAAAGAAGAAGAAACAAACGGCCACGACGACATCAACCCTACAGGACAGCGACTTGTTTATTTATTCCAGGGAAAACATTTTGGACGGAAATGTGGGGACATCCTCCGGTCCCCGGGAGCTCGCCCGTCCACCCCAGAGTAACCCAAGGGGAGACGGGCAGCTGCCGCTTGCATTTTCTGCCTTGGTCCCTAGCGATCCAGAGCCAGTGATTTTTCCAGAATACGCCAGTTACCGATTTAGCCCCAGGGACTCCAGAGCCCAAGGGCGGGGAAGTCTGTATTTACAGAATCACTTTTAAGGCAAGCGGTGCATTGCTGGCAAAGGATACCTGATCAGGGAAAAGGAAATGGGAAGAAAAATCCAAGTTTCAGAGGCGCTCCACCCAAGACAACATTTTGCTCGGGAAGGCAAATCTTCCAGGGGCTTTCCAAAGTGGGTTACTTCCAAGGACCAGGCTTCCAGAAATAAAGGACTCTTCGCTGTCAGTAGGGCTGCAGTCCCACGTATGCTCAGGAGGAACGAACCTCTTTGCACTAACAGCTACGAGGGTGAAAGACTTTCATTCCAAACCAGGTTGGGCAGGAACAATGTTTTACCTCCCATGCAAACTGCCAAATACATTCAGGACCTTTTGCAGCATCCCCTCTCCCCCTGCCCCTCAATTTTAATCGTTTGTCCATTTTTTTTCTTGTCAGAATTAAAGTTTCCCTGTAGGAAAATTCTCTTCTTTACAAAAAGCAAGTGGCACATGTGATCTTGGCATAGCTTGGCAGCCCAACTCGGGACCCTGCTGAGGGGAAATGGGTGGGCGTGGGATAAGAAATGGAAGCTTTTGTATCCCCACAGGTCCACTTACAGTGGTGGGTTTTGCTTTTGCTGGTAATTAGACACTGCTCAAATTCACTCATCACACTAAGCTACAACTATGGTTTGTCAAATGAGCCCCAGCCTTTGTCTTGGGCACTGACTTTCAATTAATCTGGTCAACTTCCAGAGAAGTCCACTTTAATTCCCAGAATCCTCAGTACTGGCCACAGTGGCTAGGGAACTCTGGGAGCTGAAGTCCACCCAGTTTGGGAGAAACAGCTTTAAAACTTCACCACAGCGAAGCCCAAATTCTAGTGAGGAGGGGTATGTTCACTACCAATGAATCCTTGGGGATTACTGGGTATTTATTCCCCCCAATTTTCCTTTTTGAAGTTCCTTTGTTTTATTAAAAAAAGACCTCTGCAAAGGAATTAATTTCCTGGCTTCTGCAGCGCTGGTGCCCACTCGCTGCCACCCCAGACCATCAGCCCCTCCCAGCCTCCTCCCTGAAGGAGCCCGCGGCCCAAACGCAAGCAGCGGAGATGCGTTCAGAGCACGGGGTTTTCCCCACCTGCCTTGCCATTCCAGGCACGGCACGTTACATCCCCGCGGCCTGGGATGTCGCCCAGCAGAGAGCCCAGGGAGGCTCTTCCGACCGCCCCTCGCTTCTGGGCACTCCGGCTTCGAGAGGCCGACAGCCAGGGCTGCGCCCAGCTGGGGCACCCGCAGGCAGAGACGGGAACGTCAGGAAGGCCCAGAGGAAAGAGTTAAATGTCCTCTCCACTTGACTCAAGGCTGCTTCAGCGGCGTTCCCATCCCTCCATCCTGTCAGCACAAAGGGGCCAATCAAAGCAGAGGGTGGATATTATTCAGGACGGCTCCAACCGAAAGAGCTGGAATGGCCATATATGGTAAAAACCACTGCCAAGGCCTGACAGGGCCTGCTGCCGACAGACGGATTCGTGGAAATGCTGCAGCGGCGGGCAGCCCCCGTGGAGGCAAGGCTGGAGGCGCGCACAATGAGCAGACCGTCTTGAGAAGGACCACTGGGAAAACTGGGCTATGGACAGAAGGTCCTTGGCAAGTCAGCCTCCGGGCCACCGAGGAGCAGCAGAGCCACCCCCGCGAGACACGCTGATGCCTTGGCCGGCCTGTTTCTGCTCCGGGAGAGCAGGGGGGCAAAGCTTCTCCAAAGGAAAGGAAAGAGCCCCCCGGCTTCCGGGCCCCGTGGGGGGAGGCAGGCCAGGCACGGCCCATACAGCACCTGGCTGGGTGGCTTTAGCACCGGAGGTCTTTTGGCCTGAGCTCCCCCCTCTCTTTGGGGCGGGTGCTCTGCCAGCCATTGCCCCAAAGAAAAGGATCAACTCGTTGGGCCCTGGCGACGACAGCTTTTAGCTTGCCCACCAACCGCTTTCTCCAAAAATCCCCCAAGGTGGTCCGTCCCTGACAGCCTCCAAGAGCTTCCTGCAAGAGAAGGGCTGTAATTTTGCAGAACCCGGGCAGAAGGAAGTGATTCTCTGTGCCTGAGCCCTTCCAGCTTCCCCAATCTCTAGCCCAGTGTTTTTCAACCTTGGAAAGTTGAAGATGTCTGGAGTTGAAGTCCAGACATCTTCAAGTGGCCAAGGTTGAGAAACACCATTCTAGCCCCTGGAAGAGCTGGACTCCAGCCCTCTTCATCCCCAACTAGCACGGCCATCCAACACGGACGGAGGTCCAGGGCTACCTGGAATCCTGCAGGTTCAGGATTGCACAGGCCAGTCTTTTGATGCACAAGAGGCATTTTCAAGTGCTCCCTGAGCTCTTGGCTCAGCCTTTTGAACAAACAAGGAAGCTTCCCTCTTCCCTGGCCTGGAAATCAGCAAGAACAGAGGGGGAGGTACGCTCAGCTCTGTGACTCACTGCGAAGAGATGTGGGTTGCTGAGAACAAATCCATACTGGCCTATCTTACATAGGAAGAAATGCGCAACTCTCTTAAATGATCCGCCTTTTAACACAAAATACAGAGAGGGATGGACTGTTTTCACGCTCAGAATTGGGTTATTCCTCCCCAACCCCTCCTCTTCTCTGCAGTTCTGACTGTAGGCCCTTTGGGGGCACAGCCATCTCTAGTTTTTGCTTATGAAAGGGTTAATTGCCATGTGCAGTACAGAAATATTAGGAATAAACTGCACTGGAATGAAATTTTGCATGACAGACGCAGGGTCTTGGTATAAAACACCAACCCTCCCTCTACTACTTCCTCTGTAGTAGATTTTGCACATTCAACAGGCAAAGGGCAAAAAGGAAATCAGTTAATTTTGTAATAAGGAGGCACATTAAAGGACAGTACTGAACATTAAAAACAACAAACTTACCTTGTGTAAAGGCAGAACCAGGAACGCACCACCCCCACTCGCTTCTATGATGATTGCGACAAATTTGGGATTGACTGCACAAAACGAACTATCCCAAGTAACCCGGGAAACTCGAATGTCGTCATAACATTGGTCATTTTTCACTGCCTGACCAAACACGTGCCGAAACTTGCTCTGTCGTACCACTCGTCTCATTGTTTCTGCAGAAGGAAACGTTAAAAAAAAAAAGAAAGGGACTTGCTCAGATCATTCATATGTGCGGCCTAGAGAACCATTCTGTGGGAAACAGCCATAGAATATCCCAGCTGCGCAACAGCAGGGTCTCTGCCATGGGAAGAGCGCCAGTCCCGATCTATCGTTCAACTTCCCCCCATAGGAAGTCCTCCTGACATTTTGGAGCCCAACTTCCGTGATTCCAGCCAGCGTCACCAACCAGTTACTGTCCCCGGGAATCCAATAACTGGGCTAATCAGGCAGAATAGAGGCTTTTAAATATACAGCTTCCCACAGTGCTGCCCCAAGGGAAATGCCCTCTTGCTTGTAATCTTGGTTTTCAAAATCTGCTCATTTATTACTCAAATTTTATATCTTACAATATCTGCCTTGCTACCCTAGAAATAAGAAGATACGTCTTAGCATATATGTCTACGTTAAATATATGCTGATTGTTTTCAAATGGGGGAGGAAGAAATGTCGATCAAGAATCTAGCAATAACGGTCAAACAAAAGCACCTCGAAACATAGCCACGAACAGCATTACTCAAACTTATTACTGAGGACATAAATCAGGCATCCGACTAATTAAAAACACAACAAAATTACCAGCTGCTAAATCAAATATTGTTGAATAACAGTCCAATATTTGTAACATTTTAATTTTAGTAGAAGAAAAAGAACATAATTAGCTGGTTTGAGACTGACGATAACTGTAAAAACAAATTAGTTAACTTACTGCAAAACAATGAATTGTTTATTTAAATATCGCTTCAATCCATGTTGAGCCAAGATTTGTACAATGAATATCTCTTTCTTTGGCTGTAATCTACGCTTATTTAAAACAAAGGAAATAAATTGAAACAGAGGAACAGATTCTGTTCAAGGGCCAATTCTTCCATCGCCAGCATCGCAGCTCCATGGAATATTTGGCACAGCTACCCCCAGCCAAACATCCTTCAGATGAGCTGGAATTTGGGGGGGGGATTCTGGGCCTTGTACAGCCCCTCTGGAGGGCACCAGGCCACGTGACAGGCAACTGAACAAAACCGAACTGACCCCTGGAACAGCATACTTACTGACGATGAGCTGGGGGCCTCCTCTGTGCGGACGCACGCCGTTACATACACGTCTGCTTTGCTAACGAGGATTAGGGGAGATGACTAAATACACATACTCTATTTTCAACCTCTAGCGCGCTGCATGCTCAGGCCTAAACAAAGATAACCCTTAAGGTCATCTCTTTTCAGAAAATCACGAGATGTTCATCGGCAGCAAAGGAGGATGTGAACCAGCCGAGGCAACGTTTCGTGAACAGATTGAAAAAGGCAGATGTTAGAAATGCTCGACCGCAAAACATCCTCCTCGGCGCTTGCTGCATTCTGAATAATAGAACAGCTTCCCGGTTTTGCTGACATGCAGAGCGGTCTCAATGTTCGGGGCTGGATTGCAAACGCAGAGAGTGGAGATTTCTGAAGGACAGTTTCCTCCTGGAGGAAGTTTGGGGTCTCGGCTAGTTTTGAGCCAGGTCTGAAAACCCAGCAAATCTACCTGTCTTTGCAAATCCACCAGAGCAATAGGAACACGAACACCCATTTGGAACACGACCAGACCAACGACAACGGAGAGGGTGCGATTATCCAGAGAGAAGCCACACCAGCCAAGCGTCCTAAAATTGCTGCAGCCCTGCAGACAGTGCGGGAATCTCCGGGGCCCCTGCCTCTTCCCAGAGAAGCATAACGGGACGCAGCGGACGGGGGTCTGCCGCAGGGATGCGCGTCTACCGGGAACAGGAAGGCGACTCGCGGCTGCCCCAAGCAGCTGCCAAACACTCCCCGTGTCCCTTCAGCCGCGGTCTTCTTCGCAGGCCTGCAGGCCACTGAGCCGGGGAGGAAAAACCCACCGCTCTTCCCACTCCTGGGCGATGATCCAGTGGCAGCGGGCTTCTCTCGGGCTGCGTTTATGAGCGGGGGCATTTTACAGGCCGCTGAGCAGATGGCTCATTAGTGCAAGGAAGCCGCTGCTCCTTCTCGCAGGAGGGGGCCGCCCCATTACTTCTCATGACCCTGCCTGACAGACTCCAGCTCAGCTCGCTGCTACTGAAATGGGAGGGCTTGCCTGGGCGGTGGCAGAAGGCAGGATCGGGCTGGAGGGCTGGAGCTCCTGGAGGTCCGCAGGGCCTGCTGGCGGCAGCCAGCCACGGGGGGAGCGGACCGGCCCAGCAGACCAGCCCTTGGCCTGGCTCACTCTGAGGGGGCCTGGATGTTCCTACCAGGGGAGTGAACTGGGACGGTTCAAGGCTGCTAAAGTAGGGCTGATCTACTGAGCCATCTAGTGCTCTGAACCCACCTTCAGGATGGCATTGTCCTCCCAGAAAGCTGTCTTGAAAGCCTCTGTTTAAAGCTAACAGGACTGTGCGGTGCAAATGCACCCCGGTTCTTCCCCTCACCTTGAGTCTCTGCTATGCACCCAGAAGCATCCACCTGCTGGGGAACCCCTCAGGTATGCATTCCAGGGACAGAGAAGGTTCACAGCAGAATATTCAGGACTCACTCCCACATCCCTCTTGTTTAAGACTGTGCTTAATTTGGCTTTATTTCTCCTCCAGGTTTTTTTCCAAGTTTCTGAGCCTAAATTCAGGGCACCTCAGGGGGAAAAAAATCCTTGTGCATCTCCTCCACCCCCTTAGCCGAATCAGCAAAGGGAAGGGATGGGGAGGAGAAACGAGGCTCCCCAGTAACCCCCATGGTTGCAGCGTAACCGCCCTGCTGGAGCGACACCCCTGCACTTGGCCAGTGTGCTTCCCACTCAGTCATGCCCCCACATGACCGCCCTTCCTTGGCTGCAACGCCTTTCTCATTCTGTGCGCGGTGAATCATTTATGTATTTGCTCTGTCAAAGAGGCAAGGCAGAACCTGTACATGGGGCAATGGGCCTTCCCAGCGTAGCAAGGCACGGGTTAGTTTTCCTCCTACAAGCTTTGCCAAACACTACCTGAGGTTTTACCATGAGCACGAAAGCACCATCAAGACTACATTTCCCACAGAATTCACTGCCACAAGGAAAGAGGGAGAGATGGTGAAGAACGATGCTAATCGGAGCTTGACCGCCATCAATCTCGAGGAGTGAGCGAATTAGGACATTAAAAAAAAAAAAATGCAGAGCTCGACTTGGCTGTCTTCCTTAAGAAGGCCTTCTCCTCTGTTTCCAAGGAGCATTTTATATATTGCATTTTTAGGTGTGGTTGAAATGCTATGCGCATGAAGTCACGCTAATACAATTTAATATTTTGGAAATGCCATTTCTGCACCAAGTTTGTAAACAAAGTAGCATTAGATGTGAGAAAGCGTCATTTCTAAAAATGGGCAGGAAGTTTAGAACTTATGTGCAACAGCCCCATTGATTTTTGTTGTTGTTGTTGCATGCTCGCTCGCTCTCTCTCTCCACCCACACACAGATACACACAGACTTCCACCTTGCCAGCTTTCTCTGCTTCTGACTACATTCTTCTCAGCAGAAGTCATGTGGGGAAGCACAGACACGTACTCTCAGTTCTCCCTAAGCGATCCTTGGCTCTGGAGCTCCGCTTTTGGATCAGGCTCCCTTGCAAAAAATAGTGTGGGAGCTGTAGAAACAGGTACCATAAACAGGCAGGCTCTGGCTATGGAAAGCAGGAATGACAGATGCCTCGAAACACACCCCATAAGGAGTTCAAGTGAAAAATTATATTAAGGTTTACCTCGTGCCTGAAAGCAAAAAAGAGCCACTTTGCCCCCATTTAAAGTTCAAGTTCTGAAGACGGTTCTTGCAAAATACAAACACTTCTCCTTATGATAAAATGGAGGGGGGGTGAGAGAGAAAAACCAGCTAACTATTACCCCATGCATGCTCACTTTTTATCACAGTGACTGGAAGGAAAAAGGAACCTGAAGTGATTCTTGGGCCAGAGGGGTTTTTTTTAATGAGAGAGGAAGAGAGGAAGTCAAGGGGGGGAAGTGACATGTGCGGGGGCACTTCCTAGTTTTAACGAGCTCATTAATTCACAGGCCTCCTAATGTTTCCTCAACCACGTTTGGGGAAAAGATAAAAGGAAATCCAAACCTCCTTTGTTCATCCTGCATCACAGCTTAATCTAACTGGAAGAGATAATAAACAGACATTATTTTGGAGTGCATTAATTGCTGTTGAAAGCAATATGCCCCCTCCCAAGCAATACGGAGGACCCCTTTAAGCTCTCCCACCCAATGGCGGAGGTTGCGCACCAAGAAAACTCCATTTCTGATACCTGAAACTGCAAAAATTAGGAGACTCAAGTACTGTATACGCGGTGGAAACTGGAGGTTTGGCCAGGCTGACCCTAATAATAGGAGAGCCAGATTCCCTGCTTACTCTTAAATATTTTTCCAGGTAAGAAGCCACGTTGGCGCATTTACTCCTTAACGAGAGTGCCGCAGAATTATAAGGGCAAGACCTCCTCTTCCCCTGATAAGCGTTTGACCCGGAGAGGATCGGCCCACTTCACCGATAATGCAGCAATCCAGAAGACTGAAAGGGGGTTCCTAGGCCACACCTTTCACTTGCAACACGCTGGCAGGGAGCTCTCGGTGTTGGAGGCTCCCTGTTCAAGGAGGACAGAGCTTCTGTGGGGCAGGCCAGAAGGCCTGGAGTGGTGAAGGGAAGGGGAGATTTTGCAATGCTTGCATCAGTGGTCAAGACTGGTTACAATCCTGACCAGCGTAAATGTGATGTCCACGCTATAACATGAAACCAGTGGGAACTGCTTCAAAATTCACGTAGGCAGATGTTCTCCAATATCGTAAGTGGACTAGCCACTTTGGTGAACTCAATCGCAGCCTCATTTCTGACAAGCTGGGGCCCTGGTTTGGAATATCGGAAGTGTGCCATCGGGACATCCCCCATCCTTCATTTTGGAGTGGTTCTAAGCAAACCAGACCTCCTAAATATAATAAGCATTAACCTCCATGCC